CTCCTCCAAACCAGCCCTTGATGAAGACTAAATTATTTAAAAGCATAGCTATTGACAGGAGCTTTCCACCCAACGTTATTAATCAAGCAGTTAAAAATTCTCATCTCAACACACTAAAAGGCACACTCTTGTTTTAGGAGATTAAAAATTCTGTTGTCATTCTCTTCCTTGCATCAATTAGCTATAAAGTTGCACATATTTTGCAGAAATTTAACTTTCGGGTTGTTTATTCTACCATCAATAAAATTCCGAGTTTCATACTCAAGGACCCCATTCTGGATATGAATTCTTGGGGTATTTATAGGATTCCTTGCCAGTGTGGTTTAATTTACATTGGCCAAACTAAGAGAGCCTTAAATTTCGCGTCAAAGAACATGAGGCATATGTTAGAAAAAAGGAAACACAGAAGTCTTCTGTTGCTCAACATTGTTGGTTCCGAAATCACACTTTCAATTTTTCTGCTGCCAAAATTATTCAAAAAACATCTTCATTGGAGAACTGGATTTTCTAGAGGCATTTCACCATTCATAGAAATCTTTCTGTTCTAGTTAACGATCCTAATTCCAATCCAAATTTGCCTTCGCTTTTAGAGAAATTATGTTTTAGTTCTGGTTTCGCCAACAGATGGCGCCACTTGCTTATCTTGTCCAGCCTCTTATCTTATCTAATCATTATTCCTATCTTGTTCATTTGCGGTTTTGCAGCTGAAGATGATGGTTCTGTAAAACCATCGAAACTAGTCCTTGAAAATTTTGTAGGTATAACGCTGATTTTGTTGTTTGACTTCTGAATTAGATCCAAAACATAAAATAGCTAGTTAATCAAATTAAAGGAACCTCACACAGTATTGCAAATAAGTCCGTAGGTAGCATCTCCTTGTTATAAGAGTTTGACACAGTTAATAGAAAATGAATCATAAACTAGCTTTCATAGCCGCTGTATCGAGTAGTTACTTATGGTAAACTTGTGTGACTGGCTAGTTTTCAACTCTGAGGGGTCCAATAGCTTAATGTGAAATTTTCTGAATTGCTAACTTACAGAGTTTGTAATGAATTTCCTTCCCCTTACTACATGTTTTTATAACGTAACTGGAAGAAGCAAATCTGGCTAGCAATCGGAAGGTCCGTAGGGAAAGGGGAAAAAAAAAAAAACCCGCTTAAGACGTGTTGCTTGAATTACGATGTTGTGGAGGATAATTCATCATTACCTACATTTGTCGGCTGGATCCACTCTTCAATTGTTCTTTAATTGCAAAAGAATATGAGGAATATTCTCCCTTTCGTGTGCAAGTGGAAGCACGTCTGGCTACCAAATGGAAGGTCCGGACTCGAATTCTGAGGAGAGGAGCCCCGATTTTTCATGCTGAAGTAAACATAGTGACTTTTACATTACATTAAATACGTTAAATTTCTACCGCACGGCTGAGATGTTAGAGAATACAGCAAAAATATGATCCAATACAATTTTTTCTTTAATCCAAATTAAAAAATACTTCGGTGTTGAAATCCATGAAGACTATTACTATTTGCATACTTTTGTTATCTACCAAGTAGACACATAATTCTATCCTATAATCTATAATAAGTCCAGAAATCGGACTTCATTTGAAAGTTTATAGTCGTCTATAGGAAAGTAATGGAGGAATTTTTACACCATTTTTAGCGAGACAGCATTTCCACTCATTGATTTGAGCTAATTTTCTTGAGCTAGCTTTGAGAATCTTAGCTTGAAATATCATGAGCTATACGCATCCTTACTTATTCACGTTTTCAAATGCATTTTTATTTGTTCCCCCCCTACAGAAATTAATACTTTATACAGCAGTTATAAATAATATACACCGCAAGATATTTGATTTTGAAGTACAAAGAGTTCTGTAAAAAAAATAGTTACGGAAATTTTTCGAAGCATGTCCAGTTTTCACCGGTTCGTTCGATAATAGGGAATTAGTTAATATTAGGGTTATTAAAAAATAATGGATTAATTTCGAAATCCTATTTTGCAGTCCTACAGAACTTTTACGGAATAAGTCACTAACCGTTTGAAGAAGTCTCTAAATTTCGAATAGTTCTTAGCAGGGCGCTTTTCCTCAAAGTTTAGTTGCTTGTTTACGTTCGATTTTATGAACATGCGTTATGTTCTCTGCATGAGCATTCGGAAATGACAGTCTCATGACTACTGATGTCAGCGTAAGGAAACAAGTCTTGGATGGCGGCGAGTATGAGTGGAGAAAATCCAGAAGGCTTTTCAGCTAAGTCCACTATTAGAGCTAGCTGTGAACTTGATGATCTTTTAACCCACCTGAGCATATGACTGACAGAAAATACGAATTGGTTATCAGCAGAACTATTTTTGCTTTGTTAGAAATTTAAAGTACTTTTGAACAATCCTGTATTTCTTGGCCATCATAGTTTACACCCCGCTTAGGAAAATTTCAAAGTTTTTTCACATCCTCTGTTCACAATTTGCCTTAACATTCGTCAGCTCATATACATACCATGAGAGAGAACAGCATCTGTCCAATCGGCAAGAAGCTGTCCTAGCTCGGGTGGCACATTTCTGGGCATCATTTTACGGGTGAAACATATTACAGGTACTAATTATGTGGATCTTCGGAGCAGAAAGAAGAATTGGAATTTATTGGATTATAATAAAATTCATTATTTTTATCTGTCTAAGGGTCGGAATATCTTAGTAATTCACCATGAAGAGCTTGAAAAGTGAAGTGGCTCGTATACATATCATGCATGCGTGGTTACAACGCTATATACCCTAAATTGCGTAGATGGTGAACAATGAAAACGTTCATGCAACCATCTCATTTTCTGGGATTTGATCCCAGATCGAACTAGCAGTAGTCAAAATCGCAATAACAACCTTGTATTTAGCGTGCATGTATTAAAACACTCAATCGATTTAGAGAACAGCTAAAGGTGCCTCCTCATCAGGAGAACGAAATTACTAGAAAGGGGAAAAAAGAAGAAAAATAAAGCATTGGCAAAGGAGTCTCAGAAACACGGGGTCGTTATCAGCAACGCACGGGGTCGTAACCGGACTTTGAATCAGAGTTACACTGGCTGCCTACTTTTACTGAGCTACAGAGATTAATTCATACATAAAACACATAGATCAAACATAAAACACATAGAATAAAACGCAAAAAAATCAGCGAAGTCAAAAAATAGGGAGCGAGGGGCAAACTGCACCTTCACGCACCAAGTCTCGAGGTTCAGACTCTCTCATTTGTCACCTTATTTTTCAAAAAGATTATTCTACATAGCATAATTAAATCGCTCTTCACTTATCAGAAGCCGAAAAAAAAATTGATCTATTTTCGCTTCCTTTATCCTTTTTATTTTTAATGATTATGAGAAATATATTTTTATGAAAAATCTTTGCCAAAAGAGATAATTCGACTGTAAGCTCGCATGTACGTAAGTGTCAAGCTAAAATGCTGTTCGCAGTGCAGCATCGAATTTTTACACTAAAAGTTATAGAAAAAGAAACGAAGATGCTCCCTTGATTAATAAAAACAAAGTTTCACGAACAAGGACCATGAAACCATAGTGATCCACCTAGAGATCCGTTCCTGGAGACTGATCTGACTGGTTTGGAGTTTCATGGTCTTTTCCTTACATAAAAATGAATATGAACCAGAAAATGGGCCTTCGTCGAAGACTTTTCTTCAGTAAGTCCTACGCGAAAGCCCCCCTTAAGAAGATAATCCCCAGGGGATTTACCATAATCAGTTAACCAACCAAACAAATTATTTTTATTATAAATTCTTAAAAAACGGTATTTTTCACGTTTCTATTGATATTTAAGTAAAAAATAGGAAATTATCAAGAAAACCATTTTCATTTATAATTAATGTTTCAAAGTAATTCAGTTTTAAAAAATCCATTAAAGTTAGTAACATATTTAATTTTGGCAAACCTTATATGGTATTTTGTTCCTCCTACATTGCCTTCGTGGTGGAACGGTTAGCACACTTGGCGCGTATTTCAAGACGCCCAGGTTCGAATCCCGGGGAGAAGATTGCTTATTTTTCACGTCTCTTGCTTCAAAATAACCTAATGACTTTACAGTGGGTCCCGAACTAAAAAAAAAAAAAAAAAATGTGGTGGACGATAATTCGTCACCACCACCAGGATTTAGCGATTGGGTCTCCTAATCCCCAATCGCCTTTTAAAAGGGGGAGTATATAAGGTATTTTCTCCCTTCTTTCATAATGCCTTCGTGTTGTAACAGTAACACACTCGAACGGTAGTACGCTCGAAGGTTTAAATATGGAACCTTCTCCTTCAGGTATAAATGATGAAAGAGAAGGCTGCGCTCAGGCGATAAAAAAAAGAGGAAGGACGTCAAGCTACTAGCGCTATTTATTGATGAAAAATGAAAACAACTATGAAATCATTTCTTTAAAATCTGGAGGTAAAAATGCATTGGAATTGTAATCACTCACTAGAACTGGAAGAGGTTTGGGAATGTAAAAGGTTGTAGAAAGCTTTAGCACCTTTAAAAGTCGTTATTCTGTATGTTATTTTGATTCAGATATGCATATGTTTTAATATGTAATAACATAGCGAATTTATCTTATGTTTTTCATAATTTTTTATTTCCTTATGAAATAATATTACTACAAACTTACATTTAAAAACCTAACTTCTAAAATTATCTAATATCTAAAATTTAATGCGAAATCCGTTTTTTTTTTTTTTTTTTCTATAGCATTAAAAATATGATAGTAACATAATAGGCAATCATTGATAAGAATAATAATGTCAAAAAAACTACCTGCTTAAATCATTAATATAATGCTATCCGCTTGTTTTGTTTTAAGAGTGAGTATTGAAGTTTAGATCGGCTATTATGTACCAGGGATGTTGAATTGTCAATCTCACTAAAACATTTTTTTTCTTTTCAAAACAAATGTCTATCATTTTAAGTCTTGCATAACCTTCTCCATACACGTATGAAGGTCTCTATAAACATAAAACTTTATATAAAAATATTTATTTGTACATTTAACACAGTTATTACACATTTTATTACATAAACATGATTATTAAACTTTCTTCTTACCTACACATACTTATTAAACAACTTTCTGGCATAAATATATTTATCAAACCCTTTTCATATAAATATGCAACTATATCTATAAGATTATGTACATTATTTACTAAGATGGTGAGCAAGTAAGTGCATCTAAATAGACCTGTTATCGGCTGAAACGTCAGATCGATTAAATATTAGTCCCAATATCAGCAATAGAATCCAAAATCAGTTCTTTAACGAATCTATAGTTTCAAGAAGAGCAGTATCAAATCATCACATGGTTATAACACCTTCTGTGCACGTTTTTTTTTTCTTTGGCCTTTTCCATCCAAAGAATAAGGAGTGCAGTTAGGTCTCAGCTTACTGCTATTCAGTTTACAGATATAATAATAATAAAAAAACATTTTAAATATGAGAATTATGAACCTTCATTTATGAGAAGATGATTTTGCGAAGAAAGAATGTTTACCAGATAGTCCATGCTACATTGACTCATTTGCTCAAGATAACTCAAATACGTGAGCAATAAAACATGTCACACGAAGGAGATAATGATGGAGCTAAAGATGTTCGCTGATAAATCCAGTTTACTCTAGGAATCAAGCCGTGTCTTGATCTGGAGATCAGAACACGCATTTACAGCAGAAAAAGGAGTAGCGATTCCTTTGAAAGCCTACATCATATCTAGACAGAATAGGAATTCTTTGGATCTCCACATAGACCACCATATATTTACTGCTGAATCGCTGAATGTGGTGAAGGGTCAAGAGGAAGTTCTTTATCAACCTGTGAGACCAACTGCTGCCATAAGTGATTCATTTGTTTTAAAATGCTTGTTCGCATGTGACAGCTGTAGTCAACCGATAACTTTGAAAATCCTAGACTGAAATGAAATCTATGGAACTACCTAGAAAGCGAGGTATTGATGTATCCACTTCTAAGGTTACAGAATGAATTGTAATGGAAATAAAAGCGTGTATTGTTCTTGTTCCAAACTGAGACCTTTGGTAGCTTGATTGACAGTATCAAAATTAGGTATCAAGTTTTATTCAGCCAAGGATAGACATATGAAACTTTCCTGAAATACTTTTACAAAATGCTTTTGCTCTCTTTTCATCACTGATTTGACTTTTGCAAAACAACACTTGATAAATTTTTAGAAAGGTAAAGTAGAAAATCTTTGAAATGCCTTCTAAAATATTGCAGTATCAATTCCTGCGCAAAAATTTCATGTTTATATTTTCTTTGTCTTTGCAGTTATGGCCTAAAAATCTTGCTGCTAGGCTTAAAACCTCTAAATTCCAGCTGAGGCCTAAATGTTCCGTTACGTTTGAAGGATAATGTAATTTGTCTTTACATGTGAAGGGGGAAGTAGATATTTCACAATCAATATCGAAAGAATTGAGTGCCACACACTGAAATGCACCTACAATAGTCAGCATAATTTATCTAGAAAGAGGTGATAAAGACGATTTTTGGCAGAATAACACAAACTGACTCAACGAACTCAAGAATGGAATTTTATTCAACATGAATAAGGCTTTTATAAAATGAATTTAAACTTATTCAAAAGATTATCCATATTTTTCTGGCTTAGAATTCCTACACAATAATGAAATTATCTTTCTACTAGTTTCAAGCTTTCTTCATTATCTCCGGGATGTAATTCGAAATTCTGAAGAAGAGAAGCTATGATCAAAAACACTTCTACTTGCGCAAATGACTCTCCAACACATGATCGCTTTCCTAAAAAAAATTAAAAATTAATTTTTTTGATATTCTTCTGCAGATGGTTTTTACAAAAATAATATTGAAAAAGGATTATTTAAAATTCAAAGAAATTCTCTATTTTAATCGAATACTTAACATCATAAAAAGAAAGATTAATGAATAAGTAGAAAAAGAACATAATTTATAAAGCACAATCACATTTAATAGTTCACAAAGCAATGAAATTTCGAAATGGAAAAAAATTATAATAATTTAATCCAAGTTCACAAGTTCACATCGGTTGACTACAGCTGTCACATGAACAATGAAATAAATTTAAGCTATGTATGTTTTTATTACACAGATGGCTTCTACTTCCTTAAATATTAATGCCGTGTATCATTTGATTATAAAATTCCTTAAAAATATAATTTTACCTAATTGGAAGACAAACACGTCAATGCAAAATTTAAAATTAGGCAAGAAAAGAAACTTCGGACTAATAAAGATTTTGCATGAAAGTCTAATCGGTTTCGAGAAGGATCAAATACATATCCTTCTTCTTCAGAAATAAAAAGGTTTGGCAATGAAATTAAAGTACTCCCATTCGAAAACTATTTGCTTTTAAAAAGAGGACCTATTTCTGATGACTTTCGAAATCTGTTGAATATTATCCAAAATTTTTTCCGATATAAGGTTGCTTTTTTTTGTCTGATTTTAAATGACAGAATTATACTTGTATACTGCATAAGTACGCAGGTTTGTAGAAAAGTCTTGAAACTCATTGGCTTATTCGAAAGCAGATGACTGTATCAGTGGTGTATTTTGCTTTTAAATTCGAATCCTTATTGTGTAACACATTTTTCTTTTTTTTTTCACACATTTTGCTGAGTTCGAAACATGACGTACACATTTGTGTTCGAATAAGTGTTGAAACATTCTAACAACAGTGTTGAAAGAGATCTTTTTTAGATGTGAATGTGGAAGTCTCCACATCTAAACAAATCTCTTCAACACTGTTGTATGACTGAAACGTAATAGTGAAACTGTTTTGGGGCATAACACCGAAACGTGTTTAGAAAATACGTGTCACTGAGCCTAGGTTACATGTAGGCTATTTTGTTGTTCACACTTCAGCAGGGATGAATTGAGATATTTAAAGGCTCTAAGAACTTAAAATGATTTTGGTATCCCTATGCACAATTTCAAAGCAAACGTTTTTCCCCAATTTTTTCTCTCTTAGTTTTTTAGTTCAACTGCACTTTACATTCCATGGTAAAACCGGCAAAAAGAAATTTTGTGTTCTCCTTCTCTTGAGCGCCCAAGCATATTTGGTGATGTCCTCCTTGCTGCTCTAATAACGTGCTTATTTTACTTGCTGATTATGTGGATTTCAGATTGTGTTACCAATACCGCAGCAGCAACATGCAATTTGCATTGTCTTGAAGCAAAAGCGCTATTTTTAGAGCAAATCTGGACTTTTCTTCCTCAGGTTGCACACAAAGAAATTTCAAGATACTTGCATACTGTTTACTATCTGCAAATGGCTGACAATTCCTAAGCGAAGTGAGTAGCCAGCTAGAACATGCTCTGTCGATCACTTGCATGTTACCGTCTTTAAGTGCTTCCATCAATAAAATTTTAAAGCACGACTAAAGGTTTCATCACCATATGCACACTGTAATATTTCAAGCCTTTCATTACAGCACATAATTCAATCACATATCTGTCGGATAGTCAGATTCATTTTCCTCACTCTCTAACACGAAACGTACCAGATAAATACACTGGATTGCTGAATGCCGTGCTGTCCAACAGTAAATTCAGTCATCCCAATGCGAGTTAAACCACTTTCGCAAAACCCAGAATAGGATTCGCATGCCTGATATTAAAAAAATCTCAAGTGGCTAGCACACGACCTCCCTCCAATTCCATGTCTTAAATACAAATGACCTATAAATAATGTATCATTTTCGGTTGATCGTTTTTAAACAAAACCTAGTTTGTTGTTCCAATAAATGTAAAGGTCTGTAATAGGAAATTTTGGAATGTATTTTATTAGGATGTATAAAAACTAACTTTCCTAAGTTTACATAAATATGGTGTTAGGGAATTTAATAACATATAATTTAATTAATTGTTTTTAACTAAAGAGAATTACCGCATTTGACGTCATATAAGACGCACTTTTTTTTTCCTAAATTTGGTCTCAAAAAAGTTACCTGCGTCTTATACGTGAAGGACACAGTCTTATACGTGAAGGTAATTGCATTCAATAATTGTTTATTTGGCTTTTACGTAACGTGAGAACTAAAAGAAACCACGCTATTGAAACCTTTTTTCCTTGTGTGTGGCCGTCTAAATAAGGGTGCGTTTTATATGCCGTCAAATACGGTAAGTGTTTTTAATATATAGGGTATCCATAATTTAATCACCGGATAACGGAATTAAAATGCAACTTAATTTTGCGAAGTAATCGGAAACAATTTATATCATCGTACTCTTTAGTTCAAAGAATTTCATTTATTCTAAATTTTGGGAATGTTTCCCTGTTTGTTTACAGATAAAATGACGTTATGTCGTGAGAAAGCAATCTACGTTCTGTAGTTATGGGAAACGAAATCTCTGAAATCAGTTCAGAGGCGATTTGGACGTGAATTTAATAAACCTCCTCTAACAGAGCAATCAATTAAAAGATAGTCATAACAGTTTTGAGAAACCGGACATATTTTGCTTTAAGGAGATGCAAGTAGTGATGAAAGCATTCGAGATGTGTTTGCCCGGAGTTCCAATAAATCCATTTACCACGCAAGCCTGCAAATAAGAACTTTCAGGTCGACTGTTCGTAAAGTTATTCATGAACGGTTAAAACTGACTGCGTATAAATTGCTGATTTGTCAAAAAATTGTCAAAAACCTAATGATCAAGTAGTTCATAAGGAATTTTCTGTAGACATTCTTGACCTTATCAGTAATGATGATCAATTTGTTCAGAAAATCGCACCCCTCTCAATGGGATACACATGCGTATAATATTCTTTATGAAAAATTCGCAGATCGTGAGAGATGGACTAATTTCATGTCACTCCGTTCTCCGAACGCCACGCCACGCGACTTATTTTGCTGGGGACACTTAAAGAGCCAAATTTATGCTGCAGAGATCCTCAACATCAAAGAACTAAAAGTTCGAATCACCACTTAAACAGTTTGACCTGCTTATATATCCTTGCGACATTTGCGTATAAATAAAGAATGCTCGTTAATTTTCGGAATGGGAGCTGAATAGTGACAACCGTGCGTTCCGGGGTAGAAACAATGCAATAGGCGTTTGCCAATTTGCTTTTTCCTCGTCACCATCAACAGTGCAAGAAAATAACAAGAGCAAAATAACAACCTACATTACAGATTGGTTTGGTTTGGTTCATGTGATTATGGCAAAGCTTCGAGCGTTATCTGCCTAACAGATCTAATAGAAATAGCCTTCAATAGGTGTTGCATTATTTAGAGTAAACTCTTTTTTTAATTCTGTATTTTCTCACGGAAATCTATTAAGAATTTCAAAGTATCACTTCCGGTTTATCACATGAAGTCAAAATTTCATATGATATTTTAAATAATTATTGTATATGCATATACGAATTTTAAATACTAAAGTTTAGAAGTTTTGATTACATATTAATGTATTTTTTCACGAAAATATGTTCAGAGTTTCAAATAAAGTATCACTTCCGTTTTATCAATCTAATATATTGTTACCACTGATATAAAACTCTTGACCAGAACTGAAAGGTTTTCGATTATATTTTAATATAGTTTTACATCAAAAACTACTGTGGATTTCAAATAAAGTGTCATTTCCAATTGTCCAATTTTACCTAAAATTTAATTAACTCTTTATATGAATGCAGAAAGTTTAAATACAGAAAACAGAAATTTTTAGAAATTTGATGTAAAAGTTATCGTTGACGGAAAAAGAGTCGTCATACAGACAGTCAGATAGAAAAACTGTAAAAATGATACTAACGTTTTGTGGGAACCATAATCCGTGCTTAAATATGTGAATGAATGAAAATGAAAACTCACTATCAAATATTTTGTCCGGCAACATTACCTCCCTTACCTACGTATATAGATTGGCTAGTGGTAAAAAGGAAATAGTGGGAATTTAAAACGCATTCCAATAGGCCTTATGTTAGTTCATATACTTAACGGAATTTCAAATGAAAATTATATCGAAATAAATTAATTAAATAACGGTATTAATTAAGACAGGTCATAGTATAATTAAGGGTATATATAATTAATAATATAAATATGGGTAAGGAAATAAAGTAATGCAAATAAAGTTATGCCAATACTATTAAATGGTATGCAAATAAATTAATGGGTTAAAATGGGTATATAACTTCTTATATATAATTTATTAAAGGATAATGAATACCGTAATATTTACTAATTGGAACATTTGCTTTGTTGAGACAATATATAACTTCAGATTTTGCTTTTACATATCTGTTACAGCGACAGGTTGATGTTATTTTCATAAAATTCTTTTCGGGAAGATTCGTAATTGACATGGAATGATATGTTTGGCATCAATAAGTAAAAGCGAAAATTATTATCTTTCTCCTAAGCCCAGTGTATGTTACATGTTATTTTTTTTAATGTAAACCAAAACGTTAATAAAATAAACATATAAGCTTTGGAATTATCTGACTCAGTTCACTAATCAAGTTAACATTTTAATATGCCAGAACTGCTTCTAAATTAATAAAAAAAGAAGGAAACCGCCTGAAATTCTAATTATTTTCAATAAGACATTTTTCTCATTCGATTTATTCATTTAATTTATAATTTTTAATTCTGATAATTCCATTTATATCTCTTCCTTTTTTGCTATTTAAATTTTATTTCTATTTTTTCTCTATTTGAATTTCTATTTCTATTTATTTTATTAGGTATCCCGATGGATAGGAAATATCAAAGAATTTTCAGTTTTATGCAGTTTACTTTAAGCTTAAATTTAATTTGCTTGACCAATTATTTTATGCTAGCAAATCTGTACTATTATTTCTCCCTTTTCGTTTCCCCACCAGAGTGCAAATTAGTTCGCGTAATTAAGTGAAGGTTTGAAATTGTGTAGAAGAGAGCGTGTTTTGCTGAGTGAAGGCCACGTTACTAGGTGTGCTTTCTAAGATGAGTTCCTATCTTCGGCCGTGAATTGTAATTGCCGGTAGTATTTCTGGCTGATGAAGCTTTAATAGCTAAATTCGCGTTTAAATTACTTTGCACTGCCTCTGGCTATTATCTATTTAGATTTAATTTTACAGTGTATTTTTACTTTGAATTCTCGCCATAAATGTTGCCTGATTTGTAAGCACCAGGTGTGCCTTCTGTTCATTTCACTTAGTTTTAAAATAAAGGCTCTTTTACACCCTTCTCAAATATCTGTAATATTTTTTTGAAGACCTGGCAATAAGTCACTTACACAGTCTTATTGATGATTAGCTACAAATTAGAATTAGTAAAAGGCATCTTACAACTTAACAACAAAAATTTATTTTACTAAGAATTTTTAAATTGAGAGACGTTAGTATACAAAATAACTTTTGAATAATTTTCGAAATAAAATATGTGTCTTGTAATTTGGTGAATAACTAAATTTAATATGTCCTTTTAATTATTCGAGGTGTTAATTTAGCATATCTGTCACGTAGTGCATGCTCATATTTAAAAATATCTCGTTAGCATAAACAAATTCTATCAGAAATGATAGCTGTCACAATTTTCTAATATAACTAAAACTGAGAAATTATTAACGCTTTCTGAACTAGAGAAACAAGATATTTAACAAAAATTCACTATGATCTATATGCTTAAAGTCATCTGAATTTTCAAAAAATCTTGTATGTGGTGTAATAATTCTCCTTTCAAAGCTTAAACATGAAGTCTGTCGTATTTATCTTACTGTTTGCGAATACTCACCTAAACAAGGAACTGCTTTATAACCTCTAAAACATAACATAATTAATAAGTCCTTAATTTCTATCAGTTTATTTATATAAACTCAAGCCCCCTCGATCGGTATATTGGTTATTATTCCTGGCTGCTGCATAGTTTGTTGGACTTCTGCTCGAACCCTGGAGAAAGCATAGATGTTCCTAGTGTATAGTGTCTGTGAGGTATGGAGGCACGCAAACTCACGGCTGGTCGAAAGTCTTCTCAATTGGTTTGACAATATTAGAACAATGGTGGGAGACCTTTGGATTGGTCTCCCGCAGTGCTATCACACTAGTGCAGAGCTGGACACAGATGTACTTCACTCGTATGGCGCTTAAGACTCATGCCAACGACAGACGTAGTCTCATGCTCTTTCTCATGTGATTAAAATTCGTGAACTTTAGTTTAGACAAGTGAGATGAGTCACAACAACAGCATGAACTCAAAAGTAATTCAGGCAATAACGCCAGTTGAAACAATGGCCATGATTCCTTTTCGCCTGTTAAAACAAATGTTAACCGCAGTGGCATTAGAAAGTTAGACAATCATTAATCATTCTCTCAATTTGCCCTTTGAGCTACAGATAAGAAACGAAGATCAATTTCTACAGTTAATAAACCCTAGAATGTAATGGAGAAAGCTTCAGAAGAATTGAAAGCTGAGAAGGATAAAGCAAAATAATCAGAAATATATTTTGAACGATTAAGAATCACTTTTGGAAGAATTATGCCATGGTTTCTGTTTCCCCCCCTTTACTACATAAAGATCAGGATTCCAAAAAGCAGCGAACTGTATTAAAAAAAAAAACCTTTTATTTAAATTTTCTCGAACATTGATCTCTTAAGAGTAACACTGTTGTTTGATTTTATATGTAACGATTTATATTAGTTTTATTAAAAGCAAAATCTCTCAAAGCATATATTCTCTCTATCTTAACAGGTTACAGTAAGACTTTGATTATAATATCTTAATATTTTGAATTTACTGCTTTGATGAGAAGCGTATGTATGTGCTGTAATGCCAATGAATGTCCAAATAAATACAAAGCCGTGTTTCTTTCCCTAATGAGTATTTTGTGAACAGTGACTAAGTATATACAGTATTATAGTACTAAACTAAGACATCACTATTTATGATAGTGATGTCTTAGTTTAGTACTATAAAATCTGTATAATTTAGGTTTAATTTACCTTGAAATGACATGAATACCTACTTACCTAAACTGAAAGGGTATGGACCAGAAATTTTTATTCTTCTGCCTTCTGAATTCAGGTACCTTCGTGGGTTGAACTTTTCTGGTTCCTCAAAAACCTCAGGATCTAAATTCACCGACCATAGATTCGATACAATGACACTACGACGAGGAATTCTATAGCCTTCAATAGTTGTTTCCTCTGAAAGAGATTTTAGAAACACATGCAAAATACCAGACATTATAATCATTCTAATCTTATCTTTATTATGAATATGAATAAACTTCTAAACAATTGGTAACCCATAGATTACAAGCAAAGTTTTTCCCATTCTTGGACATTATTCTTAGTGGCATAGAAATTCTTAAAGTTTACAATGCCACAACATTATTTATCAGTATCAATGTAACAGAAGATTAACAAGCAGATGAAATATAACCTAACTATTGTTATGTAAAATTGCGATACAAAAAAAGGACATGAGTTATAAAATAGATAGCTATGGAAGCGATGACATATAAATTAGTTAGGATTGAAATTAATACATCTGTGCGTCAAAAGGATCTGCTAAATTCAGTACTTTATGCGTCTTTCTTTAGTTACCATGGATGGTACATGGCATGACATTGAGCTATTAAGGTCTTGAATGGCTATTTGTGGAATGTCATTTCACATAGTTTCATTAGGTATAACCAATGGGTAATTGTTAATTGCGGATGAGGACACAAGAGCAACCTTAATACAATTATATCCTATGCACACGTCATGGGTTATTTATCAGATGACTCCACAGTTATAGGAGAAGTTAATACATGCTGATCACATTGAAACTTTTGGACATTGCATGTGACTTGAAGCATTCTGATGTTCAAAGATAGCACCATTCTGTAAAAGCAGTAAAATTTCTAACTACAAGATTTTAACGCTGTACAGATGTCTACTCGTAGAAGATAAGAGATGAAAGCGTTAATGAAATATGATACCTTCCCAAATCATGATGCTCAACCTAAGACTGCTATGATGCTCTACATTGCAGCTTTTCAGATATCTTTCTCAGAGGCGAACGAAAGTTCAGCCGTCATGAGTCCAAAGATTATACGAAATCACGAAAGATCATTTGTGCCTATTCAGCGTCCTTGTATTTTCACTTCACCTTGAAGTAGTTGACATCAGTAACAGACGATCAAAGGAAAGCCAAAGCAATGAAGCTTTGATGCAGCTGTTGTCGACTAACAATATTAGCATCATTGTTCTACGTTGTTGTAATAACGCTCTCAAAATTATCGCACAATTTCGTTCACAGCATGTGGGCTAAGTGTATCTTACCTTTCTGGTGTAGTACTAGTTGCTTCATTTTCTTCCAATCGTTTTCCATGACAGTTAGTAAGAGAAGCCGCTGAAAATTATAACGTGGAATATGTTCTCATTCCTTGGCTTAGATTATATCTTAAAAAATAACCTCTTGACAGTCTCACTAAAAAAAATGGCAAGAAGAATGGAATTTTTGGGTACAGGGCAGACGCATATCTGCCAACGGTTGATTCTAAATCGTAAAATTCCGATTGCACATATCGGAATTTTACGACCATGTTCTGTTATCAAGTTACATAACAGAACATGGTCCCTTCGCAATGCTTTGCTATAAACATGTATTTACCAATAATGATCATTATGTCTGTGGGGGCATTGGATCTCCAGATTATTGATGGAATGTCCCTTAACGAAACAACATGATATTAAATTTTCCTGCAGCTAATGTCATTCCTGTCAAAAGATTTCTTAAGGAAAGAATCTTGTTCATATAACATGTAAAATTATGAATCTGTTGCATTTTAAAAGATATTTGCCATTCCTGTTAAAAATTGCTTCAGTTGCTTCCTGCCGAATATAATAATAGCATATTTACTTCTTTTTATAAATTTCCTTATTTTATTTATGAGATCACACACAGCAACTTTATTTTATAAGCCTTAATCAAGACATTATGATTATTTGTATTATCAGTTTTATGATAGTTTGATCGAACTTTATAGACTCTGGCAGACTTCAACATTGACAGATGGCTGGTCATAGATTAAGATTCTAAAGTATAAAACTGCATGGAAGTAATAATAATGTATTTTTAAATTTTGCAAACTTAAAAATTACTTTTGAGAAAATTCTTTCGACCAATCATATATCACGCAGTTGCAAATTAAAGAATGTTAAGCAACATTAAATCACAAAAGAATATCACTGTGTGATAATAAAGGGGAAAAATCAACTTTGAATTGATGAAATTTGCTTTTTAACCAACATGCTCGAAAATGACGTCAAGAATTGAAAATTTTTAAATTTAATGTTTGGTTAATTTTTGGCGTACTGGTATTAGGCCTCCTGTATTTTTAATAATAATTATAAACTTTTATTAAATAGAAGTATAAAATCGTACAAAAGGTTAGAATTCGTAATTTTTACTAAATTATCTTTTAAATTGAAAAACATATCATACAGGTTATGTATCACTTTAAAAACTTTTTCGTAAATGGAAGCATATGTTTACGGCTGCGCAAATAAAATGTATTTTATTTTCGCACATAACGGCTGCGAAAATAAATTAATTTTAACGACGTTTATGGACGCAGTAAATAGTAAAAAATTAATATTAAGAGTAATTTTTCATTTAACAGAATCAAGTTCGAGCTGTTTCTTGCTATTTTGGGGCTAGGATTCTAAAACGATTTGGGGGCCGTTTAAATAATGCTAAAAGTGTTCAGAGAATTTTTTTAAATGTTCGATCTGATAGTCTTTTTTTCTTGCACTATAAGTTGCACCGTGGTTTCCATGACAGAAGTGATTTCGTTAAATTGTTAACCGTTTGATTTAAATTTTATTCAAAACTTTTTTTCCACTTAAATGGATGGTTTTATAAAGTTTAGCATGTTTTAAAAATCACCTAATAGCATCTAAACTCTTGGTAGACGTTAAGCGAATTATCGCTAAATCAAAAATAGCAACTGAAACTTCAGAAGAGTGTAAAAGACACTTTTATTGAAAACTAAGAACAGAAGGCACACGTGGTGTTTCCAAATTAGCCAACAACCTGACGGGATGTAACTTAAAGTACTAGTGAGTCAAATGCAAAATTTAAATTAAATAAGCTAGTAGCCACAAGTTGCCTGCGAAGTTGCTTAATGCGAAGTTAGTCCACAATCTAACCGGCATGGAGATACAATATCAGCAATTATAATGCAAGGCCGAAGACTACAAATCTTATATTAGCTAGTGGCCTCGCAAGGCAGAATACGCTCTGTCTTACAATCCAAAAACCATGCGCGAACTAATTTGCATTCTGGGGGAAAAACGCAAGGTAGAAGTGACAATAGAGATCTAAAACACAACCTAACTGGTTAATTAACATATAGAGGAACCTTACAGCGTAAGCAGTAAATTTCTGAGATTTTTAGTTTGTTCGCTAGAAAAAGACATGTGTGAAAAATCGTTTAAACATTACATTCATTAAATTAAAAAAATACCCAAATCAGATTTTGAAAAAAAAATCGCTTCAATACTTTGCACTGTCATTCATAACAGTATGTGTATAAAATTTAGACTCGACTGCTTATCAGGAAGTAGGTTGAAGATGTATGATAAACTTCCGACAGTGAAAAACGCCATGAATGAACTAAATAAATGCTTATAAATACATAAATGGGTGTTATTGTAAACGTTTTTAATTTTATCCAAAGTGAAAATGTATTTGTGCTTTGATAGAACTTACCGAAATTTGAATACTGCGTTGTAATAAGAAACGGAGCAGCGAATCTGTACAGTTCCTGTATAGTAGCGTCTAAATATGGCAAATTTAAACGATCTGACCATGAAGGAAGACGTTCTCGTCCTACAACGTTGTCCATTTCCTTTTGGGCTTCACATTGCACACTTAGATGCTTGCTTAATTCGACCAACATGCCCATGATGGCAGTGCTAACTGATTCCATTCCTTCGATGTAAAGGTTAAAACTGATCGCTCGCAGTCTTTCCACTGTAAAATGTATGAAAAAGGATAAACGAAAAAAAAAAAAAAATGATTCTGAAAAAGCAGTTTATGAATACATAATATGGCAGTATGATATATAGCAGTGATCTCAAACTTCTGACATCTAAAACAATTTTAAGCGGTCTGGGAATACGTTTCACTTAGATACTGATTGCAAATACAGCGCTTATGATTTTAAAACAAACAGATATTGACTGAGCTTCCTATTGAAAAGAAAATGATACAGCGGAGAGGTTGTTGCTTTCTCTTGCTAGCATAATTCTTAAATCCACATTAGCAATCGCAACTGGGGGAGATGCTTGGAATTCATCCCAATGGGTTTCGACTGCTTTTGTGGCGCTAAGTTCTTATTTGCATTTTACTTCGTATTTCTCCTGCAGAATTCAGCATGTATTTGTCTAACCTAAGCGCTGATATAATGATGCCATTTCACGTCTAGGAAAGTCGCTTCAGATTTAATCTTGAATAATAATGTTAAATTATTTCAGTTTGCTTTTGTTTCGTTTTATACCAGTAAATCTTCATGATTACTTATATTTGATTTAATTTCGCACTGGAAATTTTCACGAGAAATCCAAATCTTTTAATTATTTTGTAGAGCAAAAAGGTCGGCAAAACATTTTCAACCGTTTTACTGTTTAAGCACTGCATAGCTCGAAGGTGCGTCATAGGTTACGCAATTCGACAGAAAACTACGGAAAGCCCAATGGCTTGTTGAAGACAGTTCTTCGGTTGCGATAACAATGTACACTTACGAATTACGTGTCCTGCTAATCTTGTACGCCTATCTACGTGACTAAAGTTTAGTTTACACTATTTTTTTGTTTTGTTTTGTAAAAAATGTTTTTAAAATTTTGTTAAATAAAATGTTCTGGTCTGTCAGCTGCTTTCAGACCGTGCATTCGGCTTGCATGCAATTTGAGTTTGCTTTTGTTTCGTTTGACCACTGGTACATAGCATAAACTAGATTGATCGAATGTAATGGAAATTGAAGAATTCGCGTGGGTACAGCCAATGTACCGTCGGAGATTTGACACATTTTTAGAAGTTCTGTATTAATTATCAATTTCTTGATATTAAATAGTTCTGAACTGCATTCTTCTTATTACATTTAAGCGCTATTGTTGAGTTCCCTTAGTTAGTCTCTTATAGCGGAACCATTTTTTTTTTCCTGTTGTTGTTGTTGCGAAAGAGAGAATGAATTACTGTTGCAGAATGCTGTTATAGCTGCTGTGGGTATTGTGTGAAGATTAATGAGGCCATGAAAGAAGGTTGATGCTCATTGCTGCTATTTTAGTGTGGGAGGACGGAACTTGTATCAAGCGATAAAGCTAAAAGCATGCCTTAATCTAAGCGCTGAGATGACGATGCCATTTCACGTCTACTAAAGTCGCTGCAGATTTAATATTGAATAATAATTTTAAATTATTTCAGTTAGTTATTAGTTTTGTTTTATACCACGCTTGTTCTTCTTCGTTTTAAAGATAAAATCTCTTTAAATGAACTACGGTTTCAACAGACCAAATGAATATTATTATGAAATTTTAACGATGATAATGTGGCATCTGAAATACTCTTTAAAAAAATTGTAAAACTTCATTTCAAATGAAAATTAAAAGTAGTTCAGATTTGCATTTTATATATGAAGGAACGGTATCGTTGTTCGTAATTAAAGACAAACCAATGCTTTAATTGTGCCTTTCTTTTCTCACATTTTTATTCATTTTTAAGTTCCTTCGGGTGCATTTAGTAAATACCTTTTTAAAATTTTACTTCGTTCTTTTCGATTTGTAATATTCTAATATTTTAGCAGGTTATCTTTAAGTGAGTGTATGAAGATGTCGACTTATGAGAAAATGCTTATTTGGTAACGATAATTAATCAAGCATATTTGTCTGCTTCAATATTAAAACAGAAAGTTTACCTCCAGTTATGTCCAAATGCTAACAATGCTCGCCTAACATAATCTCGTACCTCGAATTAATGATTATAGCTATGCAATCTTTGTCATATGGAAAATTCTACTTAACAGCTGTAGTGAAGTTATATTATGCAGCAAAATGCATTTCATGAAATAAAAATCATTCAGATTTTCATAACTTACTTGAAAAGGAAGACTCGTTCAGTTTTCCACTTTTAAGAAGTTCATTTCGTTTAGACAGATAGACATCTACATAATCCCGGATATGATCTGGATCGAAAGATGTAAGACGTTCATCTATGAAAGCATCCGTTATCGTCCTCAAATAATCTCTGTCTTTAATTGCTTTACGTTGTGTTGGCAATATGGTTGCATACAAGCTGAAACATCACAGAAAAGAATGAATTCCACTAAAACGTGTTTATGAAAATTTAAATATATTAAATCTTTTATAAGAAAATTATTTTCAGCGTCGAAATATTTGATGAAACATTTAAAACTAAGAAAAAGAACAACATATGGGATATATGGATTCAAGGTGAACATATGAGGTTCAAAGTGATCTTTGCAAACATTGAGATTAAGGAAAACAAAAAGGAAATCATAGTTATTTTATTATTTCACTCTGTAATGTCCCATTTCGATCTTTTCCACTTTAAACAAGAGACAACAAAAATCGTACAACTTTACCATTTTAGGCATTTTTTTTTCTGCAGATGTTCGGGATAAAAAGCATTAAAAATAGTACCAGTGAACCTTTCCCTCCCTCATTCGTCCTCTTTCACAACAATGTTGCTGGTGAGACGCTTAAACGTTCAAAGAAAGAGGTTGGACGAAATGGTAGCACGTGCTTCACTAACAGGTGTTTTACTGCATGTTATTATTTCATTAAAAAAAGTCATGTTTACTGCATTAGGTATTAACGCCATTGATATTAATGTTACATCTAAGCAGTGTCTGAGCACAAAGTTTAAAGAGCGCAGCTTTTTCGTGGATCCTGAATGAAAAAGTTAAAAGTGGAAACCCTCTTGCCTATAGTGAGAGGTTGAAAAGAGACAACTTTTGAGAAAAGCCTTCTTCAGAGAAAGTCTAAAGTTGAGCAATTTTCATAAAAGCTTATTAAAAAAAATCCGAAATAGGATATAATCATTTTACTGAATATTTCATATGAGAAAAACTGGAGAAAAAAGAAATATTAAGCTTAACGTGTTTGTTATTAAATTTATTATCATTATACAAAATAGAAAAATCGCTTGTAACCCGCATCCAGCTAACCGGCAATATTAAAATGGCACTTTTAAAAGTCTAGATTTAAATCTTATATTTAAGCTATGAGATAAAAAGTATGTAATAAGCTAACAATCTGAAGCCTTAAATATTGAAAACATTTGTATTACTTTTTTGCCGCCCAAGGTATCAAGCTTTATCTAACTAGTTAATCAAGGAATTATCTAGAATATAAAGATGAATTACCGATTCTTCTTTATGTGTTCATGTGCAAACATTGAAAACAGTGTCCACGAATTTTAGAAATAATTTACACTGAAGGAAGCCATAAGCCATATTTACTTTATCTCTTTTCTGGAAAGATATAAAGAACATTATTTTATACCACTGTTGGAGTAAATTGTAGTCTATGATCATGTTAGTAATTTAAAAATCGAGTAACAAAGACACTCTTAGTTTTAAAACATGTTCAGGGATCTCGTCATCTTCGATTTACTTACATATTTTGAGAAAATTAGTGTTACTGAAGAGAAGGTGAGACTTTAATGAATGAAGATAATTCTCCTCGCACTCTCTCTAAAGCTGACAAAGGATTGCAAACTATCATAAGATTTCCCGAGAAATGCTTGTCTATATCCCCGTACATGATGTTACACAGCTTTAAAACTACAGCGGCAATCTCATAAGCAAGCAGACTATAGGGTTATTATTATTTAAAATAACAGTTATTATGATTCAAATACTGACTATGTTTTCTCACCAGAATGCAAATCAGTTTGAAAATATTTAAACTGAGGTTTTCGGATTGTAAGAGAGAGAGCGTGTTTCAACCTCCCAAGGCCATGTTAGAAGGTTTCTTTAATTCTGATAACAATGAAATTATCCGGGTTTGCGTTATAGATGCCGTCGTTTAAATTGTTACACCGGTGAGATATTCTGAGCCAACTTAGAATTAAATTTAATTGTGTGGTCTTAACTACTAAGCTCAGTTTAAATTCTGAAATTTAGTGATAGTTTAAGTTGCATCATCCCAAGTTGTGGCTGATACTGTGAGCACGAGACGTGCGTTTATGTCTAACATCTCATTTTAATAAAAAGGTTATTTTAATGTTTTCACGTTTTTGTATTTCATTTCAGAAGTCATTCAAAGTTAAATGGAATCATGTTAAGGAATTAGTAATTTTGATGTCATAATAAATAGGGTAATTTTAAAATTGTTTAACTTTTTTTTTCTGAATTCCCTCCCCAATCGGTGGGCACTAGCCATTATAGGAGGTGACCACTACTAAGGCTGGAAGCGATGATCATTTTTTTCAGGAATATAAAATCATCTTATGTGTTTTAATTTTAAGTAATCTATACGATTGAATTTCGATACGTTATTTATTTAATTTCGGAGCAGAGATGAAAATCACTGCCGATGGACTTCGTATGCTGCAATTTCTATAGATGGCATAATAAATCATGAGCGAGTTAGCTCTAAAAATACGTATTCAAACTTATGCGGATAAAACTCTTACCCGGAATCAGTGTGGCCCCGTTGCTGCCAGCTAAAAGCGATTCTACTATGCTATATTTGTTCGTGAGCACCCCAGAACATTAAAGATTTTCGAAAATACGAATTCGAAAGTACTGAAGTTGCTCACACTTTCTCTGAATCAGAATATCTAAATCTTAAATGCCTGCCAAGAACCAAATCGCTTTTTATCTAAAGACTTATTGTTCATGCTTGTTTCGCGTATTCTTTAAAAGAGTTATATTTTGCACAATTTCCACAGATATCTTAGCAATTAGATCAGCATTAAATGTTGCAATTGTTTCTTCTTGTACCCAGACTATGAAGTTCGATATATTCGGAAGAAGAAGAATTAGTAAATAAATAAGTAAAATATTCTGGAAAAACTGATATTATGAAAGAGATACCAATTAATAAAACTACCATTAATTAAACAGAAGAGATATTACAATATATAATCTCATTTGTATGTGCACTGAATAAATTTAAATACCAAAGAAAAGAATATGAGAGGATGGAACAAAAAGTTCAGTTACCGAATAAAGTAATATTAGCATAAATTGTGTTTACTGCAAAAGTATGAAATAAATTATGATTCGATTGTTAAAGCTTATTATTCAATGTTATTATCAAGTTTGTTGATGTATAAATTTTTTCTCTTCCAGTCTGTAGTAAAACTTTTGCTGTTGACTAATACTCACTTGTCTGATATATAGTCAGCCCAAGCACACGAAAATCGTGGCAAGGAACGTAAGATACGCCTGTCGCTGGCAACAACCTTGAGCACCTTACAGGTGACAGTGCGATTTAGATCAGTTCCGCCCCGATTTCGATAGGGAGCCCTTGGGAGGTTGGATCCCAGGATCTCCCACCCATCTTTTCCTACCACAATTTTTCGAGAGGACTTTCTGCTCGCCTCATATTTAGATTGCCCCATGCCGCACGGACACTATACATTTATAAACATCCATGCCTTCTCCGGGATTCGAACCCGGGCGCGGCAGTCAGCAACGCTAACCACTATATCAGTTGGGTGGCAAAACTTTAATGAAATTCTGTAGCATGCACGAAGTAGTAACAGAAGTGAAATAAAATGTGTATATTGCCGTGAAAGATCGAAACTGGAGAATGTCGACACTGTCTGGTGAATGTCGACAATGCCAGATACGTCAATGAAAGAACGAATGTTTGGTTATATTCTTATACATTCAGATCATCATCGACGCATGGTGACAAGCACAGATATACTCTGGTGGAGATTGAAACGAAAAGCCGAGAAGACAGACAGAAAGGCGTTGTAAAAGAAAAAGGACTCCTGTGCAATTCAAAGAGTCATAGCAGTTTAAGTTGTATAATCAATTACATATTTAAGTAAGTTTATTATTGGTATTATTTTCTTTTCTCATTTAGAATGTACTGTTCGTTTTAAGTTCAACAGTTTATTTACATGTGCTGTTACTTCAGCTTTCTCCTTTTTTGACGCATATCATAATATGTTTTAATAATGAAGCGTGATTTAAAAATGTTTTTATGCAACATTCACCATCAGTACATGGTGAATGTCGACATTTGCAAGTGTAAATGAGAAATTAGGATATTTAGCAAACATTTCGTGCATACACCAAGCGACTATGTGAATGTTAACAATCACCGAAAAATGTCGACATTCTCCAGATTTCGGTCTCATGGTAACGCATGTTATTCCCTTCTTAATATATATTCTAGCATGAAAATAATGACTTCGTTTTAAATTCAAAAAGCAAAAAGAAAATTAGACGTACTCGTGAATCCATCCTACAAGGTAATTCGCTCTTCCAATAAAGAGTTCTCTAAGGCCTTGGCCACTGCGCAATATTTTCGGCATTCTAGGATCATTTCTGTCAAGTTTTGTGCTGAATAAAATCTGAGAAACGAAGCTGTTTGTGGCATAAGCCAAATGAGCTAGTATCTCAGTAGACCTTCCAGTGTTCTTACGAAGGATTTTTAACATGCTCTGGACTTCATCTGCAATATGATTTTCCATTTCTGCTTTGCCGACGCCGAAATTCTTCAGATTGTGCATGAAAAAACGTCTCTGTTCTTTCCAAGGTATACCATCCTCTTGAGTAATTCCTATAATGATAAAAATAAAAGCTCTGCGAATACATTCTTTATAAGACACGTCATAAAAATACAATAGCACCTTGGTATACGTCCGTATTAAAATAAGTCCAACTTGATATATGCCCTGTTTGGTTAAATTTTTTTTTATATACGATATTTATTTGGAATACAACTCAAATTCGATTATTAATGACTGAGCTCACTACCCTTGTTTGATTCTTTCGAGCCGCCTAGCCAGTATAGTGGTTAGTGTCGCTGACTGCTGTGCCGAAGGGCCCAGGTTCGAATCCCGGAGAAGGCATGGATGTTTGTAAATGTACAGTGTCCGTGCGGCATGGGGCACTCTAAATATGTGGCAAGCCGAAAGTCCTCTCGAGAGGTTGTTGGTAGGGGAAGAGAGGTGGGAGACCCTTGGACCCATCCTCCGGGGTGCACTTCATCAAAATTGGGAGCGGAACTCAGCTAAGTCGCACCGTCACCTGTAAGGTGCTTAAGGCTGTTGTCAACGACAGGCGTAATCTTGCGCTCCTTCCCACGAGGAATTTCATTGGCTTGTGCTGACTATAGGTCAGACAAGTGAGCGTTAGTCAACAACAACAATCTCTTTCGAGACAATGCTGCGATTGCCATGGGTGTTGTTGCTACTATATTCAATTTGCAACTCAGCTACATCTTCGAATTTTCATGTGATTTTCTGCTTTTTCGCGTGAATGTTTTGTCAGTTCTTTAAAGATGAGTTTTAAAAATGTTAATAAGAAGAGTCAGGCATCGAAGAAAATGTTAGAATCACCATGGAGGTGAAAAAAAGACATTGAAAAAGCAGGAAAATGGCATGCGTAGTCAGGACTTGATTATTGCATACAATAATATCTATGACTGAAAAATAAAGACGCTACATTACAAAAATTACATAGGCTAACGTAAGACTCAACTCATTAACGTAACTCAACGTAACTCATTAACTCAACTCATTAACGTAAGACCTGGGGATCCTCAACCAGGCTTAAGTAGGAACCTGAAAGAAGAAAAGAGCTAGAGAAGGTATATATAAATAAATTTAATTATTTTTCATTTATGTACAGTATACATTTCGCATACTGCACTGCTATTTCATTATTAAACGGCGTTATACTAAAAACAATAAAAATTTTTTAAAAAATGTACTAATATATTTTTCTTTAACTTTTATAGGAAAATTTCGTTTGGTATATGTTCAATTTGTTATAAATTCAAGGATCTGAAACAGATTAATAGCGTATACTGGGGCACCACTGCGCCTAAAATCTTTTACACATGAAAACATATGAATTCCCTCATATATGAAACATATTTTACATATGAAAAACATGTGAATATATCGCGGCAAAAACATAGTTGTGCAATATATCATGACAGAGAAAAAAACTGTGTCAGGAGAAAACTTTGCAATTCTAAAACGTTGTGGTGCAAAACATCGTAGTACGAAATAAAATAGTGACAAAGTTTCGTAATTTGAAAGCATCCGATACAAAAATCGTGGTAGAAAGTAAAGTAGCTGCAACATAGCAGAAATACGTGCGTTCAGGATTCTGAGGAACTATCGTTCGGGACTACAGTATTATTTTGAGAACAACGAACCCCCTCTAATTTGACCACTCACGGTTTCAGATGATTTTGGTCTTCTCTGGAGGGGGTCATCCGAGGTGACGTTTAATAAAGATGTTAATTTATTACGTAAGAAATACTTTTTACATTCAGAGGTTGTCGTCTTGGGAAGGTGGTCACAATGAAAGGGTTCACTATATTTTAAATGGACAGAAAGATAAAATACAATTTTTTTTATTTCCTTGTACAAAGTAACAGAAGTATAGCAATCAAGAGCAATTTCCGATAGCATATTTCAACGGTAATATCCATTTTCTCCGCTCCCGAATCCATTTGGACGAATTTTTTTGCGTGATGTCTATACATCGGAAAAAATAGAGGAAGTTTTTTTCCAAAACGGATGTAAAATGGATTCGAAAGGAATTTTTTTGTGACGTATTTATCTTGCATTACTCAAAATCGACTAGCAGCAGAGCTTTGAAATCTTATATAGGGGACTGCTATAAATCCAGTTGTGCCCCCTCAGCCTTTTACTGCAAACGAAGCTGCCAAAAGTATATATATTCATATATATGTAAAATATAAAAAATACGACGGCTTTGCTTTACGCGAACAGGCAACCTCTAATTAACTTTCCGCAATTTCAGGATCTTTTCCCTAGACTTTCGAGAACATTCTGGCATGTTACGTAATCGTAACTATAAATGAAGAGTTCGCGCCATTTTTAGTCAGATTGCTTTTCTCCTGCTGCTTAAGAACTTTGCTGCCGCTTTTCCCGTCTGTTTTTCTTTGTTTGAATAGTATGACGCGGTAAATTTAAATTCAATCCTATTTAGTCTAAATTACTATCGCGTACGTAATCTTGCAGAATCTAAAAGAATAATGATTTGCCATTTTAAGTGAATTAAGATATGGAGATTTAAAAAATGAAATCTTTCGATGTCATCATATCTGCTGTAAGCCACTCAGCCATGTCCGGATTTTGATGCCATTTATGTGCCCGACTGCCAAAATATTACACACACACGCACATATATATACATACCCACAGCCTTACCTTTATTTTCGCAATCGTTAGTCATATAAAACAATAAAATCGATAAAAATCACATTGTAAATGTTCATAATATTCATAAATGATAATTTCTAATATTCGTATGCTTTAGTACAAAGGCTATTCATTTATAAATAATATCAGATTTGTCTACCGAAATATTTCTAACATATTAGAAGATTTATTTCCAGATGGCCCAAACTCTACGTTGTTTTAAGTGATAACGCTGCAAACTTCAAAGGAGTGGAAAATGTTCTTGATAACCTCCTTAAAATTTGCAGATCAGATCCTGATCAACACTTTAGTTCCGAAGGAGATATAAGCTGAAATTTCATTCCTATTTCTAACTCACATTTTGGTGGCTTGTAGGAGGCTAATATAGAATCAGTGAAAAGAATTTTTCGAAAAGGTAGCGGAAAAACACTTTTAAACTTCGAAGAACTATCTATATACATCTTTTGTCAAAAAAGTTTCAGAACAATTTTTTTTTATTTCTGAGTTTGCAGTGCTAAGAGGAACAAATGATGCTTTTATGTTGCCTGGTATTTATTCTTACTTTACATTACCTTGACATTACCTACGAAAACTTACTAGGTGGCAGGGATTGCTTAGCAGCTCACTGTCCCGATTGTTGTCGCATTCGTTAAGGTGACGCAATGGATACTGATTGTGAGCATTAAGTTCTGTGTTAAGCTCAGGAAAACCCCTAGTGAAACGTGAAACATGATTAAGCAAGCATATCCAGGACAGGCATAAGAAGTCGTGTTTTCGAAGGGTACAAAAGGTTTCGTGAAGGCAGAGATTCAGTACAAGGCGATCTCAGAGGTGGTCGCCCGTCTGTAGCACAGACCGATGCAAACGTAAAACGTGCTAGGCAGTTATTGCAAGAAGACCGTCGTGTAACTGTGCGTATGATATCAGAAGAACTGAATTTGAACCGTGATGTGTGTCATAAGATTTTACGCGAATATTTAGGGAAGCGGAAACCTAATGCAAGAATCGTTCCTCACTCGCTAACAGATAAACATAAAGAGCAAAGACGAAGAATTTCTGCTAAAGTATTGGATAGAGCCAGACGTGATCTCACATTTGTGTCAAAGATTACTGTATTTTTTTCTTGTTTCCGTAAATGGAAAGGTGACTGGAAAGAAAGCTTCAAGATTTTTGCAGACATCCAACGGGTTGTGACAAATGAGCTTGCAAGTATCGCAGTTGAAGATTTCCCTGCTTGCTTCCATAGCTTCAGAAACGTTGGCAGTTGTGTCTAGATAGCCAAGGGGACTACTTTGATAGTAGCTAGAATCATTACTTGGTAAATGCAGTTTTCTATTTTTTTACGAAACTTGTCTGACTAAAAAGGTACATTAGTTACACAAATAGGTGTTTGCTTGAACTCTTGAACATATTTCTGCTGATCCAACGGATCTTCAGGCTTTGACTCCAGGTCATTTCCTGGTAGGAGCTACATTTTTGTAGATACCAGAATCAAATGACACTGTAGATTTTTTTCCTGTCGTCTTCTAGGTGGACCTTAATTCAGAATCTTAGAGCTAATTTCTAGAACCGTTCTAGTGTGAAATATCTCAATCATTCTCAAACCAGTTCAAAATTGAATTAACCGAAATCCAATCTATAAGTAGGACAACTAGTTTCGCTGAAGAATAAAAACAAGACTTTCATGAAGTGGGCACTGCTATGCTCGACTGATTCGGAACATTTGCTATGTTCCAAATCGGGATATGGAATTGCTACACATATGTTAGATACCACCGCCGGGAAGTTCATATAGCTAGTCAAAACTAGCTTGGAAAGAAGGCATTTATATGGAGTTTTGTCCCTCCTCTTTGTTGAGATTGCCACCTTACAAAACATTGCTAACAATGATTTTGAGTACCTTTGTTCAATTATGTTTCCAAAAATAGTAATAAATTTCAGTGGTGCTCATTTTGGAGATGTGGGCACTATATGAAATTCCATTATATGTTCTCAGAAATGTGGTTTAGCTTCAAAAATAATAATTCTTTGGAGATAGTCGGTGGCATATTCCACTGTAACCACAGTTTTGCATATTATAAGATTTTTAACTACTACAAAGCTAAGCGCTTTCCGTCTTAAAAAAAAAAAAAGTATTTTTCTGCGATTTAGGAAAATTTACTAGTACTGGTACTTAAATTGAACATATGGAAAACGGCAATGGAAATCCGCTAAGTTCATCCGTAGCCATATTGCCATAGCTTAAATCCGTGCCCACAGATGCACTGTGGAAGCGATTAAAGAGCCAGCTTATGTTTAATTAACAATATTGCTTAGAAAATAATTACTGTTAATTAGCTTTCTTGCAAATAATATTTAAGTGTTTTGCGTTAGAAATGAAGCATGTAAAGAGAGCCAAGAAAGTTGTAAGGTATTTCTCCACCATTCCTAGCGTGTCTTCGTGGTGTAGTGGTCAGCACACTGAGCCGGTATTTCAGAGGTCTGTGGTTCGATTTCCGGCGAAGGCGTTGCTAATTTTTCATCTCTTCCGCTTCCAAAAAAAATCCTAATGTGTCTACAGTGGCGCCCGAACTAAAAGGGTTGTGCATGATAACTCTCCACACCCAGGATTTGGCGATTGGGTTCCCTAAAAACCCCAGTCGCCCTTTAAAAGGGGGAGTATGTAAGGTATTTCTCCCGCCTTCCTAGTGTGCCTTCGTGGTGTTAGTAGTCATCACACTGAGCCGGTAGTTCAGAGGTCCGTGGTTTGATTCCCGGCGAAAGCGTTGGTAATTTTTCATCTCTTCTGCTTCCAAAAATAACGTAATGTCTCTACAAAGTAACTCTTTGAACGTATGTACAGGAAACAGTGTTGCTCTTAAAATTTCTGCAAGATGTTTATATGCAGAGAAATAATTAACATAATGTTATGGAAAGAGAGGATTCTAAACCAGATAGGTCAACTAAAAGTGATATGTCATCAGGTCAGTCGTTCAAACTTTAATTTAATTAACGTATAAAAAATTTATAAATTGATAAATAAAAAAGCACTGGGAAGAAAATTGGCCGTTGTTAATTTAACAGTGGCATAGAATGGGTTAAAACAAGCAGTCTTTATCAAAACAGACGATGCATATTTTTAAATGTGTAAAACCACAGAGGAGGCCAGACTGATGATTAATACACAAATAAAATAATACGTAATTTAATATGAAAATCTCATCTCATTTTGAATTCTCTTTCCCACTTTATGATACCACTAAAATAATTAAAGATCGAAAGAATAAAATATAAGAGAACAGAAATTAATTTGAAAGAATATTAACATAAAACTGTTTATTACAAGACAAATATTACGTAAGATTTGGGAAGGAAGAACAAGATTATATTGTTTTATAAAATCGCATATTACAATGAAACTACCCCTTAGTTCCAGAACATTGTGGTTTTTCTCTGTATTAGAAGACATAATTGGTTGAGAATGTTCAGTACCAATTATTATTTGTGTTTTCAGAAATACTGTTTATTTTCAGAGGTTATCACTATGAGAGGTTTTAACTGCAGCTCTTATCGAATTATAAGCTGTGTTGCTTCAATTGTTCGCGATAAGTTGAGTTCAATTTTCAGTGTTACAGATTTGAAAGAAACATAATTATCTGATTATGGGAAAATATCTCGTTCAGTTTAAATTTTATACTTGGGCGATAATCTTACTTTTATCATACCTTTTAAATACCGTATCTCCTAGTCTGACTTTTATCATATCTTTTTAAATATCCCTTTTCCTTGAATAGCTTGTCACATAATTATTTAGCCAGACTTGTTTTCTTTCAGGAAGAAGAAGCCTTCCTTGAGTTTTTCACATTCTAGACTATTTTCAAGATGTAAAACACTTACACTTTTTGAGATCATTTAATTTCACCGCCCATTTTTATAGATATAAAATGCACGCAAAAGAATTTCTCGAAATGTTTCTGTAACAGAAATGGAGAAATTCTTTCGCAAACTAGCCCTTTTATGAAACCTCGTGAGTTTCCCTCCACCAAGATTTTGCGATTGGATCCCCCTAATCTCCAGTTGCCTTTTAAAAGGGGGAGCATATAAGGTATTTCTCCCGCCTTCTTAGCGAGCCTTCGTAATGCAGTGGTCAGCACACTCGGCGCGTATTCAAGAGGTCCGTGATTCGAGTCCCGGCGAGGACATTGCTCATTTTTCACACCTCCTGCTTTCGAAATTACCTAATGACTCTACATATTGAATGCACAGGTGCGATGATAGATTAATAAAATTGATTTTGTCAACAGAAAAACTTCAAAGTTCATTTCTAACGCAAAAGATTTTCCACAGAAATACTTGTAAAGGGCTTCAGTAACACAGAGTACAATTAGTAGTTATGATTCAAACTACTAAGACTATTAAACACAATGCCATGCAAAGGGCATCTAAAAAGAAAGCTAACCCGAAAATATCTCCAATCTCAAGCTGAACTAACAGCTCGCAACAATAAAAACTGAAAGTAGAAGCTCTCTCCGGCCTTATATAGTTTCCAACCGGCCGCCGAGATATTATTAATACTTTCTGCTTTCTCGAAATTATTGGAAAGCAATATGAGGGTCGAATTACGGTTACAGCTAATACAGTGATCAATTGCATTTATTCAATTACAATACTTATTACGGTGATACAGGGACCGAACTAAAATGTCGCCAACTTTGACAACTTCTTGCCAAATTTGATGAGAAAATAACTCGCCAAAACCGTTGTTAGTTTGGCGATATCTCGCAAAAGTACCAAGATACCCATTTACTCAATTGGGCTGCTCTTTTCCCTCTGTATTCTTACTTTTCCAGAACAGCCCTCTTTCTTGAGATTTTTCGCGTTACACAGAGAAATACAACAATTTCACTTATAATTGTACTAAAAGCATCTGTGTAGGTACAAAATAAATAGAACTCTTGTTAACTACATTTCACAAAATCCAAAAACATAGAACGTAGAGCATTTTCCGGAGCCTATACAGAAGTAGGACATAGCACCGAAATTCCGGATTGTCCAGTAAATTGAGTAAAGTAAAAAGTCCAGTAAAAAGGCATAAAACAAGCCTTCTTGCAACAATATTGTTTTTAACAAGTTAACCTTGCGAAAGTGTACTAATTTTATTTTAATCCTCTAGTATCATTCATTGTAATAAGAGAACATCTTTTTTTATTTCTACTTTTACTGATGATTATATTCAAGTTACTTGCGTGGTAGTTAAACATGTTTGCTGTGGTAGTTCACAATTTCGAAAAAATTTCTGTAATTGATCAGAGAGCATTTGTTTTCACGTTCTGTATTCATAATTCATACGAATGTGTCCTGCTAGGACATATGTGTGTGAATTTAGAATTTAATATACATATGAAAATCTTCATACATATATGCCAAAATTTTCAATAAAAGCAATTAAAACCAAGTATTTATCTATACAGCCGTGTTTCCTCTCTCAATTTCTCAAGAACCAAAGAATTTAAAGGTCTGTAATTAGAGTTAATAAATGCATTAACACATTTTTTTCTTCGAGATAGTCAAATACTTGTTTATAACATTTGCGATACATTCGGGCAGCAGATTATAAAGACTATATTTTGTTTGCTAGCATCGATAAAGCATTAATGATCGTAATATTACTGATTTTGCTATAATATTTAATGAAACTATTCACTCGTCTTTGTCATATATTACTCAAGTATTAAAATTTCGTCCCAGGTTAATAAATTACAAATTAAAAATAATAATTCGCTTATATTTTTTATTCACGAAACTAATACTCACGTGAAAGTGTTCATAAAAGTTGATTCAGATTGTTTTTAAATATGGTGAATCAAACATTATTTTAGGTCTACGACACCTGAAGATTACAAGAAATTTTTAAGTTATGAAAAATAACCTGCGTTCATTTTGAAAAAACTTCCTCATTTTTCAGAAAGTTCCATGATAAATAAAAGCTGATATTTGCAAATAAAATTAAATCGTTATACATGACAATATAATATAATCGTTATATATAAGAAAATAAAAATACCTTCAGTTTTCACGTCTCTTTTGACGTCTGTGCTGTTTAATGATATATAACTTCTTTTACAATGAAATTAAATATGAATTATTTTAATGATTTTATTACGAAAACTGAGAATAAAATCATGCAAAGTAATGGATTTGAAGAAAACTGAAGAATTTTTTACAAAGTGAATTATTACACAAAATAAACATTTTTTACAAATTGATCAAAAACGTGCTCACCAATTCCATCGGACATCAAAGTTATTACATTGTTTCCATAAGGTCTTCCAATAAATTCATCCGCTCTATTAATCAAAACCTCCTTAATGACTTTTGTGCCATTCAGAATGATGATCAACCTTCCTCCGAGTGTGCGAAAGCTAAATACATTCCCATATTTTTTACTTAGTTTAAAAAAGTCTTCGTGTGGCCTGTCGGAGATATATGGGTAATAACCAATGAATGGTAATCCCCAAGGTCCTGGAGGAAGCTTTCGATTATTATTCCAAAAGTAAATAATCAGCCATGTAAAAATTAAAACTATAACACCTACTAATAAGGGGTTATAAACATACTGTTCTAGAGCCATTTTTCTCTGTATAGAAACGCCATTTGAGCTTCGATATCAAGTATTTTTCTGATTAAGAGAAAGAATGTTGAGCTTTGATACCCTTCTCAGTAGATGCTATAGCTACGCAACACATTCATACATGCATCCAAGGTCGGCAAAGGAACAAGGCTAGGCTTATCCCATTGCTCGAATTCAATGTTTTCAATTGACGGTTAGATGTGGGAGAAACGAAGGCGCGAAGGGAGTAGGGATTAGTTACCTTTGAGGGGACAGTGGACGTTCAAATACTTTTTTTTAAATTATTGTCATAGAATTATGAAATTTTGCATGCATGTATATTTTACTATAATTATATTTTATATTTTTGAAAAAATTTCTGGATCATAGCAATTTAATTTTTTTTCAAATTTTTTTTTGAATTTTTTAAATTTTTTCAAAATGCTCCATGCGACTGAATTTTTTTCTGTCTTTTGTTATTTTTGCTTTATTTTTATTAAAAATGCATTGAAAACGCAACTTAGTATCGATTAGTGAATTGCATAAAATGTTAGTTTTTAATCAATATTTCTTTCACATATACCTGAATTTTGGACAAAATTTCCCACTTTAATACACTTTAATTGGACTTTTATCCCCTTAATGAATTCGCATTCAAAAATGCATACCAATTTTTGTTACATGTATAAATGCGAATCTAAATTACAAATTACAGTCATTTTGAACATAAAATAAAGCGCATGGAGCATTTTGAAGATGCAATAATTGCGAAAATTTCATTGTGAGAAAAATACATTTTAAGAATATTTTTAGGCTTACCTATAATATTTACTTCTTAACATGTCCTAATGTATGATTTTATTTAATATAAAATATTTTAACATTATTTTACGTATGCATAAATAATGTTTTTACTAATAAAATCGTAGAATGGTAAGAAATACTTAATATTATTTTAGAAATTTTCTCGAACACTTTCAGTAAATTCATCCAAATACATTTTTTTAAAACAAGGATCACTTTAAAAACGTCCTTCACCATATGTTTCCCCTTCCTCATTTACATTTTCATTATGTTTACCTACCTTATATAGTTTTTAGTCCAAAGGGATTTGAATCCCGAAGGACTATTAGTTTCGTTTTGGCATTTTGCGTCGGACTCATAAATGTCGGTTCACTTTTCAAACTGTTGCCACAAAATGTTAGAGTCCTGCATTATATTTGAAGAAATTAAATAATGAAAACTCTGCATAAATGTATGTATATTTCTCGTATTGTGATAAAACAACGGTACATAGAGTCATCGAATTTTGAATAACGTAATCCTCCAACGAATATGAGCATGTGGAAGACCAAATTTGAAATTTGAAATTTGTTTTTTATGATCGATTTCCTATTTTTTAAAACTTTGACGAATTTTTGATTAACAAACTCAAGGATTTCAAAGCGAGCAATGGCAACGTTGTGCAGAAAAAACATTTTTATCCCCAGCGCGTGAGTCTCTGTATCGGAAATTCTAAAGATATGCTCGTTTTAAAACTATTTTGCGATATTGCTGTTGCACTGGATCTTATGGTTTAAGTGCGAGGAACATGATATTTAATAAAGAAAGGTAACACACAAAATGTTAAAAAACGCCCCTTTGGACGTAATTTAAAATCTGAAACATTTCAGATTTTTATTTTATTTTATTTTATTTTATTTATTTATTTATTTATTTATTTATTTATTTTTTTGTTTTTTGTTTTTTGTTTTGGTAATTCTTTTTTTCTTGTATCCAGTCGAACCCCCCCTTTTTTTTTGCTTTGATGTATACGACGTTTATCTTGCCTCTTTCCAATAGATATTGAACATGAATTTGTCTTTATGTTCCATACCTAAAGTATTTAAACACTCAAAATTGAAATCACTAATTGCTGTGATAACAGCTATTTCGAGTCTGTTTTCAATACAAATGTTTCCTTCGGGCAGTTCTTCCAAATGTCGCTATGTGAACTCTCGTTAGTGTTTTGTATTTTTTCAGATATGGATCATGCTAAAAGCTGATTACTGGCTAGTTATTCGTACACCGGCAATATTTTGGATAAAACATTTACTGTTGATTTGTTTTTCATCATTGAATGAGATTTAGGTTTCATATTTTTAGCAATGCTACACTTTCAAAAAAAAATGATATGACATCTGTTGGGTATTTATAATGTCTGGGTAACTCATCCGTGAAATGAGCTTGCATAAATTGCAGTCTTCATAAACTTACACATTTATATCTTACTAACAGTAAAAATATTGTCGCGGAAATTAAAATAATGTTTCTCAAATGTTTGTTTACCTTTTTATTGGCATTTAAATGTCCCTTTAAATGTCACAAAAAAGATAAACAAGGCTATTCAAACGGTTATAACTTCTTTAAAAATAATTTTACATAAAAGCGGTATTTTGTAGACGATAGAGTTAAAAACCTAACAATTATTAAATTAAACTAAATATTCTATTCATTCAATGTTTTACAAATTCAAGATTATTTTCCGCCATTTATCTTTTAAATTAATTCATTTATGTATGCAAGCTGAAAAACGTTTTCAAAATAAAGAATTTCTCGGATTTATTAATAGCATGTGAAGTTTAACCTTTTAAATTGCTGGAATTAAAATTTTTTTCGGCTAGCTTGCTGAAAATGATAGATTACATCAAGAGAAAGAATGTAGAGATTCTAATATAATTTAGCGAGGTGGTTATGTTTTGTCCTTCAGGTGTGAATTAAGAAACCATATTAAATATGATTATGATAAAATGCTAATGTCTTTTTGTTATCCATCTCGAAAACACTACTAGTTCTTAAGAAATACTTTATATTTTCTACACTTTATACTTAAATTCATTTTATACCAGTGGTATTCAAATTATGGGTCCAGACCTCATTAGGGGTTGCAAGTCCTGAAAAATCTGAATTGATGGTATATAATTAAGGGTGATGCACCGATTGGTTCGTGAAATTGTTTTTGGGGATCGTTTACATTTTTATGGCGTCGCACTGCCACAAAGTTTGACTAACATTGTTTTTTACAATCCATTGTCAAGAAACCGAACACTGCTTCTTTACAGAATTTAACAATATAATAGTAGAGTAAATGTAGTATACTGTATTTTGTTACAGAAAAGATAAACTGAAATTCTTTGATTCATAGATATGTGTTTATGTAAGACTTTTAAACTCGAAAAAAAAAAATGCTTAGATTAATCAATAGAGTGAAAATAATTTCAAATATTACTATTAAATGGAATAATTATTAAATCTTTTCAAATCTTTAGGCTCTTTTAACACTTCGTTACTTTTTAAGGTTAAAAATTTGTTTTCCTTAGATTAATTTTGTGTAAAAGTAAACACATGATGCTTAAAAATATTAATATTTTTGCACTTCAGTAAATTTTTAATAAAGTGTTGCCATAAAACTGCTTAAATACTTACAAATAAATACTTACACTGGATATCATTAATTAAGGAATAATCACAAACATGACGATTACCCCGAACGTTGCGTGTTAGAATTTAATAAAACTGAACCATTGTATACAACACATAGCAAGGTATCAGTATCAGTAGCGGGCGCAGCCCGACCCGCCTAACCAAACAAGTTGGTCTTATGGTCATGACAGGCCATGCCCATTTCAACAAATGAAAAATAATTATTATTATTCACACATAGCAAGGTATAAAATTACATGAAAAGAAGTTACCAGACAATTATGGTGTTTCACAGAAATCAGCACATGTATAAAATGAACGAATCGGATGTGTCAGTTTGACATAGGAACTTTGTAGAGATGTTAGGATATTCTGAAGCAGGAGACAATGAAAAACGAGCAATGCCCTTGCCGGGACTCGAGCCACGGACCTTTCAAATACGCGTCGAGCGTGCTGACCACTACACCACGAAGGCTTGCTAAGAAGGTATGAAAAATACCTCATAGCCTTACCTTGAATATGGAGTTTGATCTGCTCTAGAAGCACTACAGCGCATACAGCGATGTGTAATGCTGTCAATTATAGGATCTATGTGTTCCGCAGGAAGCGAAAGCCATTGCTCTTGGCAAGTTGCTCAAGGCAGTTGCAAGCGTGGCATGGGTCTAGACAAGAGGATTGAGAGCAGCTATACGTTTTCCTAAAGCATCCCAAATAAACTCGCTAGAATTCAGCTCCAGTGATCAAGCTTGCCATTCTGTACAGTGAATTGTTTGCTGCTGAACATAATCATACGCGATGAAACTCCTGTGCAATTTAGCTTTATTATCATGTAGCATGAAATCATCACGCCTCGGCGTAAGGGCTCATAAAACATCAAGGATGTCATCTCTATAGGCCTGAGTATTCACGGTACGCATCACTTTCAGGAATGTTTGATAGCTGATGATAGGCTCCATGCCCTTTCCAAATCAAATAACGTCTACTTTTGCTTTATAGGCTAAACACGGACTCATCCTTAAAGAGAACAACCCCCCATTGACCAGTAATCGAATGGATATAGTGACGTGCTCACCTAAAACGTTCCTTTTTATGACGTGGCATCAGCAGCACTCAAATTGCTGGTCGCCTCGCGTAAGATCCCCTTCCTGAAGCATTCTACGCACTGTTGACGTTGACACCAACCATCTGGTGGCTGCGGCAAGGTAGGAGAATTGAGTCGGAGATGCGATTCTATTCTTTCAGGCGCATAACAATAAAATCTGTCATCGGCACTTGTCGTATCGGTTGGACGTCCATGGATGATTCTCATGAATGCCGAATCTGTAGTTAGAAATTGTTGCCAAAGTCTATAAAGCACAGGACTCACATTTAGCCATCTGGTTACTTCTGTCTGACTTTGTCCTGCCACTAATCTTCCAATAGCCCTCTGCCTCGGCCAAATGATGCCTGGAGGTCATTGTTACGAATTGGCTATGCCAAATTTCTCATCTCAGTATCACAACGAAATTTACAGGCTTTCTCTCAAACATGCAATTTTATGCTTCTTCCAGATGACGCATTCCAATTGCAGCCCTACTATGTGCATACTGCAGTTTTACTCAACAACTCTTATTTGACAACATATCTAAATTTCTACGGATTGACTTATTTTTGAACAAGTTA